AAACGGACGGCAGTCGATATATTTTTTCAATTACATTTTTTGTTGTGTAATCTAAAGTGAATTAGTTATAAAATAAACCAATAATTCAATGTCTGTAGTCATTGTATATATATATATATATATATATATATATATATATATATATATTTTTTTTTTTTGATGTCTAGCTATCATATACGCTTCCACATCGCCAGACCGGTGGCTGCGAGCGTTGCCCATAAACATTTAGTTTTCGAGAGCTGCCAATGCGGGATGTGCGTGTGGAATTAGAACTTCTGCTATGTATCGGTGTTCAGTCAGTGTGTTGTTTTCGATGAATACTAACTCCGTACGTGGGCTCGCGTATAGTTAGCTCTAAATCCCATCATTTAGGTAACTAATTACAATGTCTACTTATCAATAACTTAATTAAAAAAAATACACTATTATTAAAACATCGATCAAAGTTACAACGAACTACAAGTACTTTTATATTATGTTACTTGCTGCTACGGGACCCTTCATGGGCGAGTCTGACTCGCACTTGGCCGCTTTTTTAATTTTAAATGATCAGTTATATTATATGTTCTATATTAAAAAGCATACGATGTCGAATATCGATAAGCAAGTGATAAATATATGAAATTCGCCACATTTTCATCGCATCGCATTGGATTCAATTAATGGAAACAGACAATGTTTCGACTCGCTCAATTATTAATTCGTAAAGGAGGTTAATTGTTAACGCAGAAGATAGCATTAGCAACGGTAGCATAACCGCGATGCGCGTAGAATATAAAAAATTTGTTGTAAGACGTGGGCCTAGTGGTTGTGGATGTGACTGTTGATGAGGTCTCGTGTTCGGATCCCGGGTCGGGCAAAGAAAATCAGTTATTGAGTTTTTCTGTCAAGAAATTCTCAGTAGCTGTCCGGAGTCAGGAAGTTGGCGGTGTCTCACCCCGTGGCTCGGAAAGCACGTAAAGCCGTTGGTCCTGCGCCTGATCTCTCCGGTCGTGTTGGTTTACCGTCCCATCGGACTATGAGAGTGAGCAGATAGAGAGTGCACTATGCTTGCGCTAACACTTGGGCACTATAATCCTATCCTGCGCCGATGGTTGGTCTTCGGCGGTCTGTTGGCGTTGCGTTAGCGAGCAACTAGTAGAACAATAGAGTAGAACCGGGCGGGCTGCGGTCTTCTGCGCTCTGGGCTGTCGTAAACCTGAGAGAGTGTGTGTGCTTGGTCTGGCACGGCCCGAGACTTCACTTCGTACCATCGCAAATAACCTGCCTTCTGCCTGCCCGTCTCGCATAAGATTTAATATTATGTAGGTAGAATTTATCAATACAAACTGTGAGCAATTCAAGCGTCTACTTGTTGGAATTATTAAGATCGAGCAAAATAAGCCAAAAAAACACGTTTCTATTAGGGGAGCCCCCTAATTTTTTTAAACTATTTGTTGTTATAGTGGCAACAGAAATACAAATTCTGTGAAAGTTTCAACTGTCTACTTATTACGGATCAAGGGATACAGCCCGCTGACAGACATACGGACGGATAGCGGAAGCTTAGTAATAGGGTCCCATTGGTTACCTATCGGGTAATCCTAAAAACTAAGAAAGTTTATAACTTCTAAATGAACAGTAGTAGTATTGTAGTCTCGTCGGAAGTGTTTGATTTGTTAGTTTGTGGCGCGAATGTATAAAGAAATAATAATAATAATAAAAATTATAGCAAAATAAACATTAGTGAAACATCTCCCAAACTGTAAACCGGGGAGAATTTAAAACCCGTTCGCAGTTCCTGGTACACTCGCATGAGACAATCCATGCGGTTGATCCTTCTTCTAGGTATCGCTTGGGTGTACGGTTGGAATATTATTTTACTTTGACAGCTTCCTGGCGCAGTGGCTTAACAATGAGTTGCGGTACTCAAGGCCGCGGGTTTGAATCACGCACGTAACAAGTGACCTACAAATATTTGTTCCGGGTCTGGCTGTTTGTCCTTGTGAAATTTATGTTTGTAAACTGCCTCCACGGTACAGGAGAAAATCCTTAATGTTTAAAAAAAACTTTACGGCCGTTTTGCTTTATTTCTAGGCAATTCAAATTTTTCATCGGGTTAGGCAACGTACTACTAGCTCCCATGCAATTTAATGAGATTAAAGTAAATTATAGTTATAGTAGAAGTAAAGGCATAGTAAAACCAGAATAGTAGGCTTTCTTCTAAGAAATACACCCAACGCCGCTAATATGTGTGCGTGCCTGGTACGTGACGGGCGGACGCCACAGCCCCACAGCACGCAGCACACAACGAAACTTGGTAAGTCGGGAAGGTCGGGCCGAGTCGGGGACGCCCACGGGTTTTTGTTCTGTTTTTTTCGTTATTTTGCTACGTCGTTTTTCATTTTAATTTTTCTGTTTTTGTAAAATATTCATTGTGCGTTTGTTTAAGTAAATTATGTTTTTATTAAAATGTTAATTACTATTCTAGTAAAACCTCATAAGTACATTCATTATCATATCACATCAAATCAAATTATTTTTAAACATTAAATCTGAGCTGAGACCATATTATGTTCAGTGTTAATTTACTCGTATTTTAGTTATTTGGCATTTTTTGTATTGTAAAATAGGATTTTTTTTGACAAAATTTGATTCTTTGAGAGGAAACTAAAGAAATGATTAAAAATATGGTGCATAGGTACGTATGTATTATGTTTGTAAATATTATAACTAGGTACTTATAAAACTAAATGAGACTTGAACAAAAAGACACACAACCCTGTAACTGTACGCATTTGAGTCTCGCACGGGAGTTATCCTTCTATTCTGTTTTTACTATGGTAAAGGTATTTATTGGAGTTGGGCCGATTAGCCGCCGACTAATCGGTGAAGGCGATTAATCGGCCTATTTTTAGTCATCGGTTAGTCGGCGATTAGTCGGCTAAAACCGCCGGTCAATCGGCGTTTTATTTTATTAATTTCAGCAAAGATTTTTCATGATTTTCTGCGTGGTAAGTGAGGCTACATTGATATGAGTAAAGCTTTAAATTTAAGAAAATAATAGTTTCTCTCCCATGTGTAAAATCACGTCAGATTTATTTGTAGGTAAATGAAATAAATAATAAAATAAGTAGGTTCATACATAACTTTTATTGAAAAATCAGTCTCAGGTGTTTTAATTTTAATTATTCTGGACATAGGAACTTTGGTAAAAAAAAGAATCTGAGTCTTAAATTTAAAACCAAACAAAAACCTTATTATTTACTATTTAGTTTCTACTTTTTAACTTTTTCTAATCGTAATGCAGAGTATTTCCTAGAGCGACATTTCCCGAACGCCATTTTTTGACCGACATTCGCAGATTAATCGGCTAATCAGCCAATGTGCTAATCGGCCCAACTCTAGTATTTATTGTATTTGAAAAAAATTACATTTATTTTTAATTTTCTTAAACTTTATTAAACACTAAGTTTGTCATTACAGTATGAGGGAACAACCTTTTGACAGACAAGGTATTCTGGTTCAGGAGCCAGGACGACGCTGATATATTTATAAGTTCAATAAATATTATTATTAAAACGTTAACTGAGACATAAGATATGGGGGCACGGCAGTGCCCCCGACAAGTCGAGCAAAAAAAGCGGCACGGCCGTACCATACTTTTCTCGAAGCAGTTCAGGCCATTTTCGACCCCCTATAACTTCGTTGTGAATAAAACTAGATGCCTGCATTTTCAGTAACCAAACAGGCTTTATATAAACACGGTATATTTGAAATTACATTCAATTTGAACCAGTAGTTTAAGTATTATCACTAGTCAAAGTTTTTTAATTTTGCCATTCACTGACTGACGGACCGATCATCAAAACTTTAAGGCATTTCTAGCGGACATAGAAGCTTCAAATTTAGAATACAATTAGGGTTTAGTGTATAAATCAAGGCAAAACTAAAATATATTGCAATTTCGGTCCAGTTGTCTAGATACATCAACTGCATACATAACTTTGTAATCCTAAATAAATATATATGATTACGAAATTACATTTGCGGTGAATGAATCAATGTACCCGTATATGTAAAATATAATGGAATAATAGGTGTAGGTGGGTACGTCGTTGGTATTCTAGAAGTAGAAGGTACCGGAAAGGAAAAAAGCAAAACTATCTACTAATAGAAATGAGATGTCATCAAAAACATAACTTGTAAAAAAAAACCAAGTCTCGCAACGTTCTTCTACCGTAAAAAGTTGTGAGATCCATGTAATACCAATTCGGTTAATTTATTTTGTCCCTACTTAAAGGTGCTTCTGTCTTAAGTTATTACGTAATTAGCTAACCTAACAACCATATTAATATTAAAAATCTTTTACGTTTTAAATAAATATATTTACTTGGGCCATCGCATGAAAATCTAATGTAATCTCACAAGTAATACATATTATATTAAATTAGGATTGTTTAGTGCGATTGTATAAACATACTTTTATACTAGTGCTGGGCAAATATACCGCCCTTATCTAAGCGAATCGCAAGCTAGTTAAACATAGAAAAAGAAAAAGTTGTATATTTACTTGGGACAAACGAAGGCTGATGAAGAAGGCATGCACAGCGCAGGGCGACTCCTCCAAGCATGCATTAATGAAGTCAGTGAATGCGGATGGCTCAGGCTTTGTGGCAAATAATCTGTTTCTCGTTTTTTATTTTAGCTGGTTAACGCCTCATTCAATAAAATTATATATTTTATACGTGATAGAGTTACGCTGCACCTATATTATGGTTGTAACACAAATAGGTCGATCCGACCGGGGAAGGACCACGCTCTCACAGAATGCCAGCGAAAAATAGCAGCTTAATACTGCTGTGTTTCGTATCCTCATGGGGGACAACGCAACTGCATTTTGATTCTTAATCTATAATAAAGGATAAATGTAGATGTTTAACGGCCACAGCATCTCCATACCATCTGATGGACTGTGTGATGAATAAATCGAGGTCGCTTAACAATACCCATTGTTCCAGAACACGGCAGCAGTCACGGGCACACGCACGGCGGTGTACCGCCTCCGTCCAATGTGCGGCATCTGACAGAGATCGTGAACAGCAATGCGGACATGGCTCTGGGTCATCAGGCGACCGATAACGAGGAGACTGACGAGATGGTCCCGCCCAGAAACGACAAAATGGCCAACAACAACAAACAGGCAGCGGGCAGGGTCGCCAGCGATCCCGGGCATTTGAATATGAAAGGGGTGTTTCTTCATGTGCTGTCTGATGCTTTGGGTAAGATTGATTTTTTAACGTTTTGAAGTGAAAACTTCTTTAGCGGCGTTGTACACTTTTTTGTAATAGGTAAAAAATGTTAAACTCGCGTCAGGACACGTGACCCTGATCGAAAATTCGTAAGACGGATGGAGAGTAGATAGCCGGCGCGGCGTAGGAGAGGAAGTACCCCCCCTCTTTCTACGGCGCGACGAAAATGTATGCCTGCGTCTGCTGTTTCGTTTAGGCGGCGCGCAGGGCGCTTGCGCGAATGTAATATAAATTGTCATGTTTGTGTACGATAGCGCAATAAATAAATATTGTATTCTACCACATAAATTATAGTACTTTTATACTGATAATTAAAGCAATTCTTGCAAAATTATTCCCTAACCATTCCAAACTATCAAAAATGCACAACGATAATATTCAAGTTTTCACTTCTGCCGGCATTACCGGAGTGCAACCCGTCGTTTTTTTATATGTTTACTATATTTTTTATATGTAACTTTTTGTGTTAACATTATTTCTTGATATAACATTTTCAGGCGCTGTCAAATAACAGTTGAAGATAACAGATACAAATTAAATTGAATTAAAAGTCACGATAACTTATACTAAACGTTAGGGTTCTTTCTGACTCTGTCTTTTTCTGTCCGTCTGCTGGAGTAAGAGAAGGTGGTGCTTAGATATTTCTGTGGCTAAAAACAGGGCTTGCACTGCTCTATTTTGGTGTGAAGCTGGTATAATTATAGGAGCTAATATAGTTATAAGCTGTAAGTCATTATATCTTGGTCCCTAGAGGTCACAAGTCACAACGCATCTATACCAACAGTATTTGGTTGAAGTTGGCTGAAGTAGTCCATAGACTGCAGTAGTCACTTTTTTTAAAAGGATAGGGTGACAAACGAGCACACAGTCCACCTGATGGTAAGTGGTCGCTGCGGCCCATAGACATCTACATCTATCCTCGATTACAAATCAAAATGCAGATGCGTTGTCACCCGTCAGGACTAAGATGGAATGCCTCTTTTCCAGTAAAAAGGCTCTTCGGGTCGTGCGTGGTGCTCTCACAGAATACCAGCGTAAAATAGTAGCTTAATGCTGCTGTGTTTCGTATGGTGAGTCTTAGAGATCTGGAGACCCTTTTTTACTGGAAACAAGGCATTCCATCTTAGTCCTCAGGGGTGACACCGCATCTGCTTTTTGATTCTTAATGAAGGATAGATGAAGATTTCTATGGGCCACAGTATCCACTTACCATCAGGTGGACTGTTTGCTAGTTTGTGACCCTTATTCTTTAAAGAAAAAGAGAATTTTCAGTAAGCCAGATAATAACCGAATTTATAATATATACCTGTATATTAGTGGTATAGTTGTAGCACGAATGGGTCGGCTCGACCGGGGAAGAACCACACTCTCATAGAATACCTGCGTGAAATAGCAGCTGAACGCTGCTGTGTTTCGTATGGTGAGTGAGAACCGAAGAAACTTACTACTGAAAAGGGGCAATCCATCCTATTCTTATCATCATGACAATGTATCTGCACTTTGATTCTTAATAGAGGATAGATGTACATGTCTATGGACCACCACAGCATCCACTTATGTGTATCGACTATCGAGCCAGCAAATTTAAAACCAATTTCTTTTATTAAAGCAAATTGGTTTTTGCTCAGCTTAGCACTGCAGGGCAAAATACGGTAATAACTATTGTTATAAATAATTACTGTATTTTATAGCGCGCAGTTTGCCTGGTTATACATATTTTTTTTCAATTTATATTTCATAGCAGGCATGGTTGGTCATAACAAGGATGTAGAACGAAGAGGGAGTGCAAGACACTAAGTGAATGAAGCTCTTCACTCTATGGGAAATCAGAATGTGTCTCAAAAAAATACAAAATGAAATATAGTAATAAGTTGTGAAAGTTAGTTTGGGCCCTAGACGGATGTTAATGATCAAATTGGCGATATATTGAAGATAGATCGATTTCCGAGTACCAACTGATGAGCATATATGTGTAGATATAAGGATGTGAAAGAAGCGAGAGAAGTGGGCAGGATAGTGCCAAATGGAAGTCAGTAGTATCTGCCTATCCCTCCGGATTATGGGCATGAACATTTATAAAGATTGTTAATACTAATACTTCTATTTCTCAGTGTGTTATAAAAACGCCTCATATAATTCACTACTTCCTGCATAAGCGTAAACATGTGTGATTAACTTCCGTCCCATAGTTATTTCACAGTCACTTGCAACTTGCAACCTTTATTTGACCTTAATTGAAACGTACACCCTTGATAGAACTTCCGAAACATTTTGAGGTCAATTTCTGAACTATCATTGTGGTAGAGCCACGCTACAGCTACATTATGGTTATAGAATGAGTGGGTCATCTCGACCGGGTTAGGACCACGCTCTCACTGAATATCAGCTTAATGTTGCTGTGTTTAGTATGGTCAGTGTAGAGAACCGGAGACCCTTTTTACTGGAAACGAAGCATTCTATCGTAATCTTCAGGGGTAGCAACGCATCTGCATTTTTATTTTTAATCGAAGATGTCTATGGGCCACAGCATCCACTTACCATCAGGTGGACTGTGTGCTCGTGCGTCACCTTTATCTCTCTCTCTCTCTCTCTCCGTTAGTCGATCGATTTTGATGAAATTTTTGTGTATGTTTGAATGGGTCCCTAGGTGGTTTAGATTCACATTAAACCCAGTAGGTGGCGCTGGTGTCGAGATCCAGAAATTACCCGAGCGAAGCCACGACGGATCGCTAGTTCTTTATATAAAAAAGACATTTGAACATATTTAGGTTTTCAATAAAGGAAAACGACAAGGCGATGCGCCTGGCCATGGACCCTAACCTTGCAATTGTCAATGAGGAAACAATTAACGTTATTCCTTGACTAATCTTGTACCGTTTCGAATCACTGCGAAAATTGGGTAGTTGACTACACAATTAATTAATAGATAGTAATATCATTGAATTTGATTTGATTTAATATATACTGAATATCAATGGTCCCTTGAACAGTTTTATCACGTACAAAATGGTGCCTCACATCTATATGCTTAGTCCTAGAATGATAGCCATCAGAAACTGGAAGTTTCGTAGAGCTTTAATTATAGCTGTTAGCTGATTATGCTTCTTGAAGTTGCATCAGTCACATAGCCTCTTGTACACAAGATGATAAAGATATACAACATGTAACAAAAACCCTGTAGTTCCCGTTATCTGCGTTATCAGGGTCAGTATCCAAGCATATAGAAACAATTAAAAAAAAAACATTTAAAAAATGAATTTTAATGAAAAAAATTAATTTGTAAATTGTATGTGGTTTTATTATCTCTGCAACTCTGCATTGGCCGAGGAGTAGGAGGATTGTCAAAGACCCCGCATTACCGATACTTGTGTGAGTTAGTGGAAATAAAACCATATACAATTTGCAAATTAATTTTTTTTTCATTAAAATTAATTTTTTTATGAGTTTTTTTTGAAAAAAAAATTTCTATATGCTCTGATACTGATTCTGATAACACACTTAATGGAACAAACACAAAGACAACACTGGTAAATCTACTTCAGTTGTCGATGTAGCAACAAGTAGCCTGGCGTTTAGAGTTCCAGCTGATTGTTCCTCCCTGAAACCAGAAGGTGTAACCATTGCAGGAACGTTGATCATCTTCTGAGCTTGCTCGTTTTAATCCATGTAAGGATTTCTTCAATCTTATTCTTATTACTGGTGAAAATACTTCGGTATAATCTATCCGAGGTTTTTCTTTGCAACAACCCTTAGTTACATATTATAGATGAATAGTCATCTATGAAGGTTATGAAGTACTTCGCACCACCAGCAGATGGTATCTCCATCGGACCACACAGATCAGTATGTACTATTTCTAGTAATGCTTTTGCTCTCGAACCAGAATGTGGAAACGGTAATCGTGTATGTTGCGCTTCACAACGTGGTGTACACACAGTATCAACATTTTTGTTGATGATAGTTATACCCTGAGCACATGTCTTTAACTTCTTAACATCAGCCAAGTTAAATGACCCATTCTCTTGTGCCGTGTAATAAGATCTGACTTATTTTCAAAAGAAAGAGCTTAAGCATTTACAATAATGGTATTCAGTTTATACATGTTATCGACTAGTTTGGCATTTGCATCAGAATTTTATTGGCATTATTATATATATTTCAGCCCATATCAGTGAATTCCACTTTACAACCATATTTGGTTAATTGACTAACTGATAACAAGTTAATACTGGGCTCAGAAATAAATAATACATTCCTCACCTGGATTGGAGATTCATCATTGCAAAAAAATTTTTTAACATTTACTTTACCCATATTTTACACGGAGACTGCATGATCGGTAAAACATTACAAACTGACTATAAAAGGAATCACATTCTATAACGTTATGAATACAAGAATGGAACTACTTAAATATTTCGCCAGGGACTTTATCAAAAAGTATTTTATGTTTACTTTTCAACAATAATAACCCCTGGGAATGACGTGATCGCTACTAAGCTATTTCTAATTTATTTTGTATTGTTAATTGTGTAATATACATGATAGTAAGCTGTTATTTAGAAAAAATTCCCGCTGGGTTTTTCCCAGGAGAGTGATATTTTTCCGTATCAGTGGTAAATTAAACAAAAGAGTGATTTTCAATAAGTATTATTTATATCTAAAAGTTAGCTTTTTATTATATTAGATTAGAGTTACAAACGACCTAACCAGTCCTCCTATTTCCTTCTTCTGCTGCTTGGCGACAAGAGTTGTACTAATCCGGATCAAATCTCACCAATGGAATTTTATTAGTTAATAATAATTTATTTGAAAATACGCAAGCAACCCGGGTTCGATTCCCGCTGACACCAATGAAATTGTTAATTGCAATTTTATGTACTGATTTACCACGTACTCGGCGGTGAAGGAAACCATCCTGAGGAAACCTGCATGACTGAGAAATAAGAAAAAAAAATTCGAAGACGTGA